TTGTATTGTCGTAGTCACCCATTCATGCTGGATGCTGTCTGGTTGATACGTAACTTAGTTATTTGAGGGATATTGATTATGGTTATTTGGATCTCGATGGTTTGCCGAGATATTTTGTTTGTCCCGGGGTCATGGAAAATTGTCCTCCATTAGATATTATATTTCTATACTAGAGATATAGCAATATCGTGGTATTTTAGGTAAAATGTGCTAAATTATTATATCCTAAGAGGTTTGATTTTCTTGGTTTGATAATGAACCCATTAGCTTAGTGTTGTTGTTTTTTTTTGGAGATAATTGATCTTCGCTAGATAATGATTTTGTTTTGCGAGACTGAGGATGCAGTCCGCGTTATTTTTTGGTATCTCGAGGTTGTGCCGAGTACCTGGTTGTTGTGTTTGGGGGTTCACGGGAAATACTCCTCTATGTGATATTGTATTGGCTTATTGGAAGTGTTGATGGTTCTAATTTAGTTTATTGGTGTACTCCATTGTATGGATTGACTATAATATCTTTAGGTGGTAATTGGTTTGAATATGGAGTGCTGGTATTTGCTTGAACCGTTGATTTCCTGATTGTTGGATAGTAGTTTTTTTTTATGCTTGAGGATCAATTGAGTTATATAATATATGGCCAAATCGTATTGATTTAAAATATTAGTTGGGATTTAATTTTCACATTTTTAGAAGCTATGTGACTTTGCTATTTGGTAGTAATATTATATTTTAAGGACAGGAAGAGGTGCTCAACAGGGGTACTTATATATTAAACATGAATTTTAAGATTTGGGAACATGCTGGTCCTGGATTATTTTTCTTTTAGCTTGTGTTGATGTCCAGAGACAAGAAACCAAAAGATGTGTGTGGACAAGGTGTTGGTTGGGACCAAAAGAGTTGTGTGTTCAGGTGGACTGACGACGGTGATGAAGAACCATGGACCACAGAACATTGTCTTTGTTGCATATTGCATGTATATATTTGTTATGCATATTGTATGGATGCATGTATTATGAAGTTGAAGCTGAAAATAGTTTGATAGTTCTGGTATGTATTTTCAGCTGAAGAAAGGAGAGGGGTATGTTGTGAATGGACCTAAATGTATGGAATGAGTTTTGAGAGTATGTGTGTAGTTGAATTGAGTTAATATAGTTATGGATGGTTTGAGAGTATGTGTGTAGTTGAATAGAGTTAATATAGTTGTGGATGGTTTGAGAGTATGTGTGTAGCGGTATTAAGAAAAGATTATGAATGCGTGAATAAATAAGGATGTGACGTAGGAGAGAATGTTTTCGTTGTTAGGAAGATAGTTGAGAGTCAGCCTTGGTCTTGTCGTCGTCTTGTGAAGATGTATAGAAGTCGTCGTCCCGTCTATGTAGCTGTTGATATTATATGTAATAAAAGATGGAAACATCGTAGCGTCGTACAGTGTTCTCTTTTTGGATCGTCGTCATCTATTGTTCGTAACGTTCAGCATCGACCCTGTACCGAAACTCACTTCGCAACATACAGGTCGAGTTTGAATGAAGTTATTTTAGTCGCATTTTTTGCTGTGTCAACTTCGTTTAAAAAGAATGACGAAATAAAAGTGTAAAATTAAACAAATATAAAAACTTTTATATCTTTTCATTGCATCGAAAATCAGACACAAGAAAACGTTCTTTAATTAAAAATTTCGTATATAAAAGGGATCACAAGAGCGATCGAAAATCCCAATTTTTTTTCAGCTCTACTTAAAAACCCAAATTCCACCCCTCCCCTCCCCGTCCCCTCAGCCCACCACGCACGCCGAGAAAGAAAAATCCATTGAATCATCATTTAATTACACATTTGCATTTTCAGTTTCAGGTTGGTTTTTAATTTTTATTTTTTCTTTATATTTAGACGTTTTGTATTAGATCTTTGTATAAGTAAACCATCTTAAATGAATGAAAGAAGGCTACAAGTAAGAAAGAAATATTACTATTGTAAATCTGTATCAGTCCACACAAGCCGATGATGAAAACTTCAATACTAAAGCGAACACACAACTGACGCTATAAATTACGTGTCTGAGGGGGGAAAAAAAAAAAAATTAAACGTCAATTTTAAATTAGCTCTGATTGTTTATTGTGATTGTTTAATTACCACAGACATTACCTTGATTAAATTTACTTAAGAACACATAAAAAAAAAGAAAATGGTATTAAAGAAAAGCCAGTTTTTTGTCTTATTTTCATTGCAATTAAAAACTTCTATAATTAAGTTGTTATTTTTTACTTTGGGGATTCTACAGGTAAGGTATGTGTATGGGGAGGGGGGTGCATATCTCTGGTAGAAACACAACGATCTATCGGCTGGCAATTTGTGTGCGAGAAACTCTGAATTATTTATTGTGTTGCGTTCCGCCTAGTTATTGAACACTGCTTGAGCCAGTTCCACTCCAACCAGCCAGAAGAAAACAATCTCCTGGGCTGATGACTACTAGCCCTCAACACCAAACCTCGAATTCAAGACATCGGTGTCAGTTATCTCAGTGGCTATATGGTTCCCATAGGATGGTGCACTCGAGTTAAATTAATTAGTAACAGTGGCGTAGCAAGGTCGGGTGTCACCCGGTGCGGCACTTAATGGTGTCACCCCCCAGAGGCGTAGCGACCCTTCCTGGGGACAAACTTTCAAATTTTCGATTTGCACCCACCCCCCCCCCCCCCCCCCTCGAACTTTCGATTTGAACCCCCCTCAAATTTTTCTCTATATATTTTGCTATGTTTTGCCTTGGTGTCACCCCCCTAAATTGTGTCACCCGGTGCGTTTCGCACCCCCGCCCCCCCCCCCCCCCCCCCCCCGTTACTACGCCTCTTACTACGCCGCTGATTAGTAAACCACTCCTTGAAGAGTTTAGTTACTAATCACTCAGGTTATCCACAAGTGAGTAGGAAAAACGCGTAAGTGTATGTTTATTAGTTTTGCATAACAACTTGAGTCAGCTGCATATTCACTGTATTGAAAAAGTGTACTTGTTTAGCTTCACCAGAATGTTTCTATTGGCTACACTGGCATGCTATTGACGATTTTAATCAGGTAAAATCGGAAAGCAAAGTAATCCTTTACTTGTAATATAAGAAAGAGACATGGTAGATTCTGAATTGATATAGATATCGGTTATCGTTTTGCACAATAGCATGTTCTATTCTATTTTGTAACTGATGAACGTACGAAGCACGTATATTCGTTGCATCTGTTATATATAATTTTTAAAAAACAGTTTTAAGTACAGTCTGTTTTTGCGTACAACATTCCTGTCGATTTTAGGAGAAGTATGAAATACTGGTGTGTTTATATAAATTTCCAAGGTATTACATAAAATGCATATACTTTAACTGGAATGCCAAAAACTGCTAAGGCACATTGAGAAATGCCCTGATTCCCAAAATCTTAATTAACAAACAGTCTAATTAAAAGATCAAATACAAGACGAGCAGCAGGTAATCTTTACTGAGAGAACAAAGAAACCAGGAGTGGCATCACTTAATATTGGTTGCAGCATGGAAGGCTAGAATGACATGACTTATTTTCTTTCTAGCTTTAACCCTAAACACTAACGCTTGTCCTAATGTATTTCATATGGTTTGAAGTAGTAAAAACATACACATTATAGAACCTCAATGCGAATAATAATCAATTCCTTTTTTTTTTAATGTTTAGACGCTTTCCTGTTGTACTACAATCATATTAGACAACAATGGCCTACCCAGGTAGCCCACCCTTCCCCATTTGACACTCCTTAACTGATCTAACCTTGGCCAACTTTCCCTTGGCCTACTGCGTTCCAGAATATTATACATTAATTTAGCGCGATAATAAAAATCGTAACTAAATTCTACAGGCAATTCTCATCACAATGGTATCATTATTGTTCTAGAGGCTGCCAGGCTTAAGTGTATAGTGTTTAAGCCCTAAATAATATCGACACAAGTCAATAGCTGTAGCTTAACTTTAAAAAGTAGTCACTTTGGGGGTCCATGGGGGATTATAGCCCCCCTAACCCCCCCCCCCCTGCCACTGATTACAATAAAGTTAATTATTACACGGTCGGCTATAGGCAAAGAAAATGTAGGTCAGTAGTTGTATTAAATACATATCTCTAAGAATTGTACTTTAAAGATTGTTTAGTTTGCCTAATAACAAATGCTAGAATTGGATTAGTTCGTAATAAAATTTAGCAATTACCCACTATTCGGTTAATTGCAACTGCGTTACGTTTTATAAATACTGCTTACGTAGTCTACTAAAGACAGTCTGAGTCAGACCTTATGAATAAGAATATCTGTATTCAACACAGCCACATGTTTGATATAACGCTAATATTAACTTTTTTTAAAGAAGCTCTAATACAGTTTTAAAATATGTAATCACATCAGTGAAACAAACCTGAAAAAAAATAATTTAAATATTGTTAATATGTATGTTTAAATAATAAAATAATACACAATTGGGTGTTGAAGTGGAGTCCAAATGGAGTCCTGCCGGTTGGCGTTTTTTTAAACCAAATCTGAATATTTTTATTAAATCTTTTTTTTTAAGTTAGGAAAGCTACTTTCGCTTTTGGCTTCCAAACAAACTCAAGAATTTAGAATCAGAATTTCGTGAATTTAGATCTAGAAATCGAGATAGAAAATTAAAATCTAATCTAGATCTAGATTCTAAATCTAGATCTAGATAAAGAATTGACTTTTCAGATTTTAATATAGTCTAGAATCTAGAATTATTAGAATATAACCGACTCGTTAGATTTAGTTAGTTTTACCGTCTTTTAGAGTTTTAGATTTTAGAGGTTTTGTCTAGATTTCTAGATCTAGATTCTAGATTCTACTAACTCTAGATCTAGAAATCTAGATCTAGATCTGATCTAGGGACCGTAGTCTAAACCGATTTTATTAGAAGAGTAAAGAAGAGGTTGTAAAGTCAAGTGACCAAGTCTAAAGAATTAAAGATTAAAGAACTTTAGTAATTATATAATTTAATTAGGCCTAGTTAGTAGTTAGCCTACTAATTACTAGGCCTATAGTAATTAGAATTAGATTCTACTTTAGTGTACTAACTTAGTACTAAGTACTTGGCCTAAAATTAATATTAATTATTAATGATACGTCATACACTCATACTTTAAGTTTAATTAAGTCTAAAGTTTAAGTTATAAACAGTAGATCTAGATACAATAATAAAAATATATACCCTATTATAACAAATCGTCAAATAGTATTATTATTTACTAGATCTAGATTCTAGGGCCTATGTATTTTATTTAGATCTAGATCTCAGCCTTATTTTAGTTAGACCTAGATCTATAATAATAATAGTATTAAGTATAGGCCTGTTACTGTATATTATATAGACTATAGCGTATTTTCTTTTATAGTGAACTAGGCCTATATGATTAATATGAATACTTTTATTAATATAATAGTAATAGGTGTTAGTATTAGTTTAGTTAGCTAGCTAGTATTTAAGCTATATTTAGTAATAATAGAATAATTAGCTAGATTTATGTAAAACAGAAACCTTTAGACTTTACTTTTTAATTTAGGCCCATAAATTGTTTTCTAGACTTTCTTTTGCTTAGAAAGTTAAGAACTGATTAAATTAGTAATTAGGCCCTATGTATTAATCATATTATAGTTAATTATAGGCCCCTAATTTAAATTAGGCCTATTTAGTTATAAAGACTTTGCCTTTATTCATTTTAATAAATAGGCCCCTATTTTAAATCAATGCCATATTTTTAAAAAAAAAATCCTTTTCCTAGTACTTTTTCTTTTAGTACTAGATCTAGATGTACATAAACTAGATATTACACGGTGACAGTAGGCTAGACCTAATAACCGTAATTACTAATTAGTCGTCTGCTTAGTAGTTAGTCCTCGTAGAGATAGTTATCGTTATATATATATAGACAAGTTATAGTGTACCAGTATTACTAGATAAAATTCTATATCTAGTAATAGCTCTAGAAATTCCAAATTTGATTTAAGCCCAAAGTGCGCCTAAAAATTGGATTAATCTAATAATTACTAACATAAGGGCCTAATTAGTTTAATTGTAATAAGCTTTGTTTGACTTTGTGTTACTGTCATTGAGCTTTTAGTTTAACATTGAAAATTTAATTCAAAGATTTTTAAAAAAAAATCAGCAACTTCAATCAATCTATATAGCTAGATTCTAGATATTCATACTGTTGTACAAGGCTTACTTAGTAGAAATTAAATATGCTATAATTACAGAATTCTGACTATATCACTCAGAATAAACAGATATGACTAAATAAGCCTAATGTATATTACATTGTTTTAGAAGAATTACTTTTGCTTTACAGTAAGCATGTATTTTTAGTGTCTGTGAACACTAGTTAATATTTATTTTTACTGTTAATGAAAGTATTATTCCACAGATGAAGCATGTTCCACTTGTAATAATATTAATAATGTCTTGTTTTTTTTTACTTAGACCAATAAAACAGTTGTGTGGTTTACACTTAAAGTCAGTATCTCAAGCCAGTTACCCTTAATGATAATGTACTCAAGCCCTCAAACCACTTCTCTGGTTTATCAATTGTGTGCTCTACTGCTTGACCAATGAATCCCAATTTAGTATTTGTAGGTCATTGTAAAAATATAAATTGATATATCCTAAATAAATCTTTTATCAAGTGTTAAGATTTATGTTATTTTTATTGAGTGTTGTTTTAATACGTTCTTTGTGTTTGTGTGTGTTAGTTCAGTGATTTTGGAAAGCTGTAGTGATTGAGGAAACTAAACAGTGTTTAACTTGCAAATTTTATATGAAGAAATACACACTGGCGCTAGACTGCCATTACTACTAACCCAAAGTCTCAAGTTAAATTGAGGTTTAAGTCAGTAAAAAGTCCCTGTGTGCACCCAGCAATGAAGGGTACCTAACTCACATCAGTGAAAGTAAAGGCATTGTCATAGTGCTGACCACATCATGGCTTCGAATGCCAAGTTCACAGAACAGTTGAACTCTTTGCAATCTGATCCATGGACAAACAGGCTAGAAACAGGAACTTTACAACTCTCACTGTTGTTTACAATATTTTCATACAATAACAATTACAATCAATAAACAAATTCAATGATTAAGACAAGTTCAATTTTTATTAAATAAATTAATAATTTATTTAGTATTTAAAGATAAAGGCACTTTATTTAATGTAATATTTGTCCCTTAATTTCAGGGAATTTAATTTTTTCCTGCATCAAATATTGTTATTCATAAATTGCAGACTCAGATGAAATCTTCATTCTAAAACACATTTTGATTTCCTATGTTTTGTTGATAGTCTTAGTTAAGGTTGTCTGGAACATGTGTAGGGTACTTTCTTCTGTGTTTACTAGAGGTCTATATGCACTGATTTAATTCAGGTATTCTGAAAAATAGATTTACACACAATATTTATACTTAAAATTTTGTCTTATAATCATAGTTTACATTTTTATACATAATAAGCGTATCAAAAATATAAATAAAATTGCAATCAAAACTAGCCATTAAATCTATAACTTCAGGTCAATATTGACAAATCTCTTACTAAATCTAAACTCTAGATCTAATAACCATAATTCAATGCCTACTAAAATAACTGGGTCTTGCTAGATTTACTCTGATTTACACATAAACTTCCTACATCTAGATTTCTAAGTAAGCATATGCCTACTACTCTAGTTAGTAGCAGACTTTCTTAATCTTTAGCAGTCAACTAAACTTTAAATCTACTTCTTAAATCAAATCTAGATAGGTTCGCAGTAGCAACAGCAACAGATGTCAACATTTTAATTTTATTAATATTATAATATTATTATTTATAATTATTGCCTACTAAATTACTAAATAATTCTAGATCTAGATTTCTCTAGACAAGTTACTAACTAGATTTAGCACTGTTGTTAACTAGCTACATCTAGAAAAAAAAAATATATAGACTCAGAGACCTACTCACTGGATCTAGAATTATAGAAAAATCTTATTCCGGCTAGTCACTTCGTCATTAATTATTAATTATCATTAGGTCCTATTATTAACTTTTTAATTTATTACACTCACAATGTTGCATTCACTCTCTAATAAGTCTACTTCAGTAACTATGCTCAACTGAACTACACTAACGGCTAACATCCTCAGTAGTCTACAGTCTGCACTTAGTTAGACTAGTCGTAGTCACTACTTGTACTTAGAAGTACTTACTAGATATTAGAAGTAGATCTACTCTACTTGCAATCAGATCTCTACAAACATACACTAAAAAATAAATCTAATCACTGTCATTTTGGTAATCTATCGTTTTGGGTACGTAAAATCGCCCGCGACTAGTAATGTGAAAAACAGGTGACTCCTTAAATTTTAATAATTATTTCACATTTTGAGGAGGATTTATGTATTGAAAAATACAAAAATGTTTCCTTCTTTCATTTATGTACCTGTTTTTAAACAATTGAATTAAAACTTTTCAGTAATAAATGAAGACTAGCGATGTTTCCAACAGATGCAACCATGCTCATTTACTATAGCAGCCATCTTGTTTAAGTTTTTTTTTATAGCGGATATAGCGCGAGACAGGCGGAAGTCACTCTATTTTACAAATGGCTGCTGTTTATATAGCAAATCTTGCTCGCAAACACTGCTGTTTAAAGTTAATTTCTGGCATATATTGATATATTTAGCCATTGATTTAGGTTTATTATTCATTTATCTATAATATTTGACACAAATATATCACAATATACTTCTACTAAAGCCTTGACAATGAGGTAACTTTTTCGTACATTAATAGCCGCGGGCGATTTTACGTACCCAAAACGATAGATTACCGTCATTTTTTATTTAGAGGGATCAGTATAGATAGATAGATCTAGACTCTAGTTAAGGAAGTATAAAGAACAGATTTAGGATCAGGTAGATTGAGATCTATTACTAATAACTATTAGATATCTAGATCTAGTTGCAATATGCTGAAATAAAGTGTAAAGTCGAACTTGATAATCGTTTGTTTACTGTTTACCAAATCGTCCAGTAGGAGTAATGTCCCCTGGGGCTAGGCTTGCTAGGTCTTAGATTTAACTTTTAAAAATAATTAATTTACTTACCGCCACAAAACTTTTCTGTCAGAATTGAATGCAAATACATTACTTCCCAACCGTACGTACACAATAGACTTGAAATTTTGTATATTTGTTGCATATTGGGAGTTCATGATGAGTTTAAAATCTTGAAGCGAAGTCAAGAAACAAGCAGCCGCCATGTTTTTTTATCAATGGGAATCATGATCACAAAAATTCATTTAGTTTGAAAAATTTTATCTCTCCCTGGCGGAAGTTTTTCCAAAACTTTGAATGGATTAATGAATTAATATTATTAATTATTTCAAAAATTATTTTCAATAGTTTATCTTGAATTAAAAAATTCAAAACACGTAAAAATCAATACTTAATATTTTGTTTTAATTTTCGACAGCTAAAACATAATTTTAGCGCTTGCCAATTAATTTATATAATTTTTTGAAAAATAGCATGTTATATAGCAAAGTATTACTGCAACACCCAATTACAAAATAAAAATAGGCAAGCTTTACAACAAGCTTTGTAGGGGATCGAAATTTATCTGCCAGTGGGTTTGAACTCAAGACTTTGTTCGAATTTATCAACCATGAGCTTTTTGCTGACTCGACCACGCCTCCAACACAATTAAGCGTTACGTGTCAACTGGTTATGCGCCATTGAGGCCATTGACTCCGATTTCAGCCTGCTTTTCTTTTTAGATTTGCTTCCATAGCCTTTGTCCAACCCAGAACAAACTACAAGGCAGCAGTTGTTAAATTTTGGAGTTGTCTCTCCTAGAAGAGTGGCTGTCCCCAGCTAACGAGCCTCATCTGCCCGAGGGGTTGGAACTCGAGACTTTTCGGTTTAGCAACCATGAGCTTTTACCGACTCAACCACGCCGAACCCTTTTTAACACCACTAAAACTAAAATAACACACACACACACTTGACAAATGAAATAACACACACACACACACACACACACACACTTGACCACTAAAATGACACATACACACACTTGAACACTAAAATGACACACACACATTTGACCAATGAAATGACACACACACACTTGACCACTAAAATGACACACACACACTTGACCTCTAAAATGACACACAAACCCATTTGACCTCTAAAATGACATACACACACACAAACTTGATCACTAAAATGACACACACACTTGACCACTAAAATGACACACACACAGACACTTGACCAATGAAATGACACACACACACACTTGACCATTACAATTACACACACACTAGACTACTGAAATGAGGCAGGCACACACACACACACACACACACACTGTAGGGGGCGGACACTGCTAAAAGTATATATTTTCTATATAAATTTCATTTCGTTCGGGGGGGGGGGGGTAGACTGGAAGAAACTCTGGCCACAAACACGACAAAAATAAATTATCAATTGAAGTGATTTATCAACATTGTTATATTAGACAAACAATACAACTCTACAAAACTCCAATATATATATTACAATTTATAAATTGTTTATTTGTAGTGTAGATATTTTTACTGTGTTTATACATATTTAGTTAAATGGTAAATATTAGATCTTGGCTAAAATACGTTTTTCGTTAAATTAATATAGATCTAATGAGTTATGTCAAAAGTAGTGCGGGTAGGTTTAATAAAAAATGTACGCTTTAGCTTGCAGTAGGCCTAAAAAAATTACTTAGCTAGAGTAATACAATGTTACGTGATGTCACTACAAGAAGTACAAGATACGAGCCGACCCGCAGCGTATCATACGCCGTTATTTAGTTGTTTTATTTTCTACTTTTCAGTAATTCATAATTTGTGAATTCGACAGTACCAATGCTGCCACTGAAACTATTTGCTTTAAAACACTAACCCCCACCCCCCCCCCCCACTTTTCCCTAACCCCCCCCCCCTACAACCCCCCATCCCCCCCCCCCCCCCCCTCCCGTGAAAGCAGCCTCCTCTTAGTTATTTCTTAGTTACCTCCTGTAAGTTTAAAATCGAACTAAATTATCTGCCCCTAATAGAAACCTGGCTCTACGGCTCTACGATTTGTAAACATTTAGCTTTGTAAACATTTAGCGTGACCACAGCTCACCAGACAATGTGTGGATGGGGTGAGGGTGGTAGTGATAGTGATAGAGATAAAGAGAGGGGACTGCAAGGAGGCGCTTGCAGCTTGTTTTCTATCGGCTCCCAGAAGAGAATTATATATATAGATGACCAGTGTAAAACACTGGGATTTTGCACAGAGTTAGGCTGTGATCTATGCCATATGTCGTCCGTTGTTTATGAAGGTGTATAGCTACACGCCATAATGTCGTCCGTTATTTATGAAGGTGTGTAGCTACACATCATTATCCGTCCGTGTTTAGCACATGAGTACCGAAACAAAATAGAAGCTATAGGGCGATCATCAAAATATCGATTAACCTACTTTATGGCTGGCCCGCCCAAGACACTAAAGCAGGGCAACACGACCATAAACAATCGATTGATTTCCTCAGGCATGTGATTTGATGTTCAGGTAGCCGTATTGGTTGTACTCATCGAACATGTACTAATGCAGTTAAACTTAATTGCG